CAGAGAAAAACTCTGTTTAGAAAGAGCCCTGTGATGAATTTCAGCCCACTTGGAAATTCTCCCTGACTCAAGAGCAACTGCTTAGATACCGTAATTGCAGCTCAACACCCCTTTTGACGCATCAGGTAACGTGTGCCCAGGAGTGACTTCTCAGCTTACCCTGGACTCTGCCCATAGTCAAAGGGAGGAGACCATATGAGGGGGCATTGTTGGGGGTCATCTGAGAATCCTGCCACACATGAGGTGAAGGGACATCCCAGGGTGATGGCTATAGAGCTGGCCTTGAGGGCATCCAGTTGCTTAGAAAGGCAAGTGGACCCTAGGGGAGATTTCATCTTTGGCCCCTTGAACACATTGCCTGGTTTTTGAACAAGGGGCCTCACCAATGTCTGTGAGTAGCTCTGGTTTCAAGATTTCAAATGACAAAATCCCAACTAGGCCTCTCTCTGCCCTCAACCCTGGCCTTCTCAGGCCTCACTGCAGGCTTCACAGGGCATTCTCCCAGCAAAGATGGAGGCTGCAGCTACAGCAGAAACCTGTACAAAACCTCCTTGAGCTTTGAGGGGCCCAGTGCTCTTCCTTGATCTGTCATTCCTGTTATGAATGTGATGCCCAAAAGGGCTTCATCTTGATTCAAATTTCCAGCCTCCTTGGAGCTGAGACTGGATGAGGTGTAAATATGCAGAGGAGAGGCAGCCAATAGTGGCCAGTGATGGGCAAGGGGGTCCACGGGCAATCACAGTAATGCCAACCCCTTCCTTGGTGCCCAGGTGCAACAAACACCCTCTTTCCTTACTCATAGCAGCAAAGATGCATCTGTACACATGTAAGATGCCTACGCTCCCTTCCCTCTTCCAGGGGCACCAACGCAGTGTTTTATCCAGTCACAGTTTCCTGCTCTAGGCCTGGAATCTTCTGACCAGTTCTTTCAGCTATGTCTGGGGTGAGGGTCCTCACAGAGAGGCCACCTATGACTGAGCGATGAATTCGACCAATCCAGCATGTGACTAAGTTGTTCTAGGAAAAGACCTATAAAACCACCGAAATAACCCTCACATGGAGAGAGAACTTTAGGAGAGAAAGGTCATCTGTCCACGCATGCGCATTCTAAAGTCTCTGCCCATATCCTGAACCGGGGAGCAAGTCCTTTGGTCAGTGTCTTGAGCCCTCCCAACCCCCCAACTGTTCTGCTCTCAATGAGGGTCCTCGGTGTCCTTTGAACCTTGGTGGAAACTCACTGGGAGAATGTCCCTTCTGGAAGGGATTATACTTTCAACAGCCTCACTTCTTCTTGGGGGCACAAGAAAGAACTTTGAAAATGAGTGATGTGACTGTCTCTTTTCGTTTGCCAGCTTTGGGTCTTTTCTGGCATCATACACCCCCTGGAGGGCTGGCTCAACCTGCTATTTGCTTTTGGACAATCCTATGGGCTAAAGTAACTGAAGCCAGACACTGGTCCAGCGTGTCTCTGGGTATGAACCATGGCCTAGAAACTTGGGTTCTCAGCAATAGGCCCTGGGTTCAGCCTCTGTCCCCCACGTTGGGTATTCTGCTCTGGGGAAACTGGAAACCCTCATCTCAGAGGTAGGAGGCACTGCTGGTCTGCCCACAGGCTGCATATAATAGCTAAGACTTCACAGAATAAGAGAGAAGCCCTGCCCTGCCCAGTGCAGACACCAAGACATTTGAGTTGCTCAATCTTCTGTGCCTGCCTGGGGTCAAAAGATGAAACAAGCGAACAAGCAAAAAAAGACTGCCAGGCATGGTGGCTCACTCCTATAATCCTAGTACCCTAGGAGGCCATGGTGAGTGGATTGCTTGAGCTCAGGAGTTTGGGATCAGCCTGAGCAAGAGTGAGACCTTGTCTCTTCTAAAAATAGAAAAATTAGCCAGGAGTTGTGGCAGGTGCTTATAGTGCCCACTACTTGGGAGGCTGAGGCAGGAGAATGGCTTAAGCCCAGGAGTTTGAGGTTGCTGTGAGCTATGAGGTCACAGCATTCTACCCAGGGTGACAAAGTAAGACAAAAAAAAAATATATATATATATATACACACACACACACACACAGAGATATCTTATATGTAGACAATCCTAAA